TATATATATATAGAAAGGATGAGGGAGAGAGAGAGGGAAAGAGAGAGAGAATGAGGGAAGAAGAGAGGACGAGGGTTGGAGAATTCAGAGAAGGGTTGTAACAAGAAGGAAGAAGGGGGTGGGGGAGGACGATCGGGCCGCCGGTGTCTCTGCTTGGAATTTATAACCCAATGATATCATTTTGTACCCCAGCGAAGCCAAACCACCCCCGGCACCGACCCTGGCAAAGCGGAGCCACGGCAGAGTGGCTGACATCATGGTATATTGCTCCCAGTGACGCTCAAACACTTTCCACTACGGATCCATTCTGTGAAGATAAATCTCACGAGCTTAAGAGAGACCACCTACCTATAACTATACGCGCCCCATTCAGGATGTTCTACGTTGAAACTTCTCTCTTTTAAATCCATTAGTCTGATTCTATCGATTTGGTTTGTATTTTGCTTTTTTTTTTTTTTTTTCGTTTAAACCATATCAAGTTAAGATCGCTTGAATGACGATTAACGATTATGGAAAGGAGGGAAGAATGAAAAAAAAAAGAAATATTAAATGGATAATAAGTTTAAGGGGAACTAAAGCGTTAAAGAGTTTCGACTTTGATCTGAAAACTGAGATTCTTGAATGGGACGAGGGTATTTATTGCATTCGATATACAAGAAAGTCGTTAAACGGAAGCAGCCGTTTTGGCAACCATCCTAGGTAGGGAATTGTCGAGCGATTGGATGGTGGGGAGAAAGAAGAAGAGAAACGTGGGAGGTGGAGTAAGAGGAAGAGGAGAAGGAGGAGGAGGAGGAGGAGATAGTGGTGGTGATGGTGGCGGTTGTAGTGGTGGTAGAATAGAAGGAGGAAATGGAGGAGAGTTGAAAAGAGGGATTCGGTAGAGAAGACCGGAACAAGCGTACCAACTCGGAATAAATAAAATCCTCCGTGCCATTGAATGGTAAGGGGTGCTACTCTCTCAACCCTCTGCGATCCTCTGCAAGCTCTTCCTTTACCACCATCGTAGCACTGTACGAATTCGAACAGTCACGTTGTTATTCCGACACCCGGGATTGTTTACACAAATATTAAGGGTTCTTTTTATGATCGCGTTTCGTTAACGAATAGAATAGAGTTAAGAAAATATTTTCCAAGTTAAAAATCTTCTTCTCTTTGTACAAATGAATTAGAAATAAAAGAAAAAAAAAATGAAGATGAATAAGAAGAAGAATAAGAAGAATAAAAATAAGAATAAGAAGAAGTAAAAATCGAATGATACACTGGTAGGAAAAAGAAAGAGAAACGTCGTGGCAAGCTTTCTCTCGGTCCTTTCTCATTGGTATGCTCGTTCCAGCGTTTCGGGGGTAGCTCACGAGGGGATTTGGAAAGAGTGGATGTGTTGGTGGTGGCGGTATGGCGTCAGTGGGCTTGTGAGAGTGAGCGAACGGGGGTGGTGCCACGAGATAGCTTAAACTTAGCATTCACAAACCAACGCGCCACGGCATGGTCGGCGTGCGAAAGAAGGAGACGAGAAAGTAAAAAAGAAAGACAAAGAGAGCAAGAGAAAGAGAAAGAGAAAGATAGAAAGAATAAAAGAGCGAGAAAGACGAAAAGGACGAGGAAGCGAATGGAAAAGAAGAGGAGAGAAGATGAGAAGAGAGAGGGCCAATTCCGTTCTCTCTTCGTGTCTTTGCTCTTGGTGTGGCAGCCAACCAGACAAAGGGAAAAAGAAATAAAGGAATGGAGAAAAGGAATAAAAGAGAAAGAGGGAAAGGAAAAAGAAAGGAAAGAAAAGAATAAGACGATGGGCAGGGGCAAGGGAAGTTGCAGGAGAAGGAAGAAGGATCCTTCGTTTTTCCGCATCCCATTGATTTACATCTTGTCTTGGAGATGTTGGAACGACGAGCGAGAGAGACTCCTCGGAAGAGGAATAAGAAAAAGAAAAACATAAGAAGTAAGGGAAAAGAAAGAATGAAAAAAGGAAAGAATGAAAGAGAGAGAGAGAGAGAGAGAGAGAGAGAGAAAGTGGATTGCAGGTGAGAGAGTGAGCGTAGCGAGGGGTATCCGCGCGATATCAGCCGTTTGTATGCGCGACTGACGCCAAACTTTGCTGAATTGCCCTATGACTCCTTATATCCCAGTCTCCTTCGGCCCTCCTCGACCCTCCTTACGATTCCGCCTCTTCACCGTACCTTCCGAGTCGTTATACCGATCCCGAAGAAAACCCCAGCACTCTCTTCTCTCTCCTTGTCTCTCTTTCTCTTTCTCATCGTTCGGATACGCCGCGCACGTGGAGCAACACTCGCTCCTACCAATTGCGAGTGACAACCGTGAATCGTTTGGGAAATCAGCTTTGATCTTTCCAGTTGTAAGGATGGTGGAGGATGTAGGAGGAGGAGGAGGCGGTCTCGAATCAAATTGCACGTTAAACTCCATCACGATGAGGTTGGAATAAATGTCAAGATTACGGATACGTTTCCTTTTCTTCTACCAATTGCAAGGATCAATTTGCATCGTTCAATTTGTCGCGAAATAACTGTGTGGAGAGTGAGTGGGAGGGAGGAAAGGGAGAGAAGGAGAGCGTATTACTTAACGACGTTACCTTTAAACGAGAACGTATAACGGACTTAATGGGATCGATTATACGCCACTGAGTTGCCTGAGAGGAGAGAGAGAGAGAGAGAGAAAGAGAGTGAGTGAGGTAGATATACTGGCTATGCAGGGATCCGAGAGACGAACGCTTAAACTCGATTACCCAAGTTACGCCGCTTTAATCGCGTATTATGATCGTAATCTCTTCCGTAAAGTATCGTCCCGTTCGAAGTACACTAAACTCGAGTATCGAAATATATATATATATATATATATATATATATATATTGAGAGAGAGGATCGAAGAAAGTAAACTCGATCATCGATCGTGATATTGATTATATTAACAATTTTGAAGAATGTTTTATTCCAAATGAATGCATTATATTATATAACATTATTATCTTTTTTGTGTTTCTACTCACTGTTGTACTCGCCAGGATCACTGGGGTCCAATCGTTTCGCTCTACGTCCGTGTTTACTATTGTTGTGTACAAACATGTTATCGGAGACCGCTAACCATGGACCTTCCACTCCGACTTGCGTCGATATGATCACCTGGAACATAATTTAAAGATTAGCTAGAAATCGAATATAGTAATTAGTTAGCAGCGTGTTTAATATAATACGTGATACGTATGTGTATATATGCATATGTAATATGTAATTATACGTGTCCGGAGTAATGATATAAATGAACGAACACGATCGTTGTCGATGAAATAAACTCACGAGACACGTTTCTCATAATTTAGCAAATTTCATGTCCCGATTAACTCAGTTGGGGGCAGGTGAAATATGCTAAAACGTATAAACGAAGTAATCGAAGCGTTTAACGCGCGCGAACTGTTCTCTGCATGATATACAAACTTGGAGTTTGCATTTTTTTGCGAGAAAGCAAACACGATCAAATTCGTCGGATGTGATAACGCGTGTATGTTTATACACTATGCATGCAATTCCGTGACTCTCGCGGTTTTTTATTTTGTACATGGATGTAAAGAGAGAAAACGTGTGTATCTCCGTGCAAATATTATAAAAGATAAATACAGATAAATTCGCGTTCAAATGCGTTGAAATAAAGATGATACGATTAATATTAATTGAGTTAGGGGAATCTATTGTAAGTTTATTTTCAGTTTTGTAAGAAAATTTAATCGAAGGGAAGGAGATTTCTCACGTTCCGGATTCCTTGGGCGCGCGCTCGCGTGCGAAGTTGGAACATTCGTAAAATCGACGTCGAGAACTTTTGTCCACACAGTCAAAGTTTTGCCAAGTTTCTCGCAAAGTCGGTGGTATTAGTTGGGCGAATAACGCGGTGGCAAGTTGCGAAGAATAAGAGCGGGTTAAAGGGTGTTCTCCCATCAGGTAAGCGAAATTTTCGTGGGTTTTGAAGGGCTGAAATTTTAATTCGTAACTTTGGACGGTAAGCAATCCCAAAACAAATTCGAAACTGCGATAAGTATTTTAATTTTGGTTCAGCGCCCAACCTTCCTAAATATATATATATATATATATACCTTACTGAAAGAAGGAGAAGGGTACAGTAAGAAAACGTTTGGTGGAAGTAAACGTAAAGGAGAAGAAGAAAGTGGAACGTAGAGGAGTAAAGGGAGCGGGGTAAGGGGAGGGAGGGAAGGAGGGAAGGGGGGGATGAGGGTAGAGGAAAACGCGCGACGTGGTTTTTGCTAATTTATTTTTTAATTCTGTCTTTTGTCTCAACGAAAGGAGGAAAAGCTAGCTGGATGGCGAGATACGGGCGTCGGTCCGTAGAAGGATCGTAGGAGGGGTCGTTAGGGAGGATAAGGGATGAAACGGGGGAAGGGACGGGTTGGCTGATGCCGTGCTGAGCTAATTGCCAACCCCTTGGATTACAAGTCTTCTGGATGGGGCTCTCAACTTTCGACGATGGCCGCCCATCGAGAAATTCTTGTCTTTTCGTTGAGGACGTTCCTTTTTGGAAATTAAAAAAGAATTGTTTCTTACGAGAATTTTTACTTTAAATTTGTCAAAGTTGTTTGCGTTAAGACTCATAATTTCAATTTCATACGTTTTAGTATATGTTTTACGTTAAAAGTCTCGTAAAAGGATAATTAATTCAATTTTTAATATGGAGGATTAGAAAAAAAAAAAAAAAATAAAAAAAGAAAAAAAAAGAAAAAAGTTTTACGATCTTACCTGAAATCGTCTCATGTCGCGTGGGTTGCCGGCATTCTTAAGGCAGTTCTGGTTGCATTTGAGAAAGAACTTAAGGAAGAACCTGAAAGCAGAGAAACAGGGAAGCCAGTTAAATGGTTGACAACTTGTTTAACGCTCTTCAACACCGAGAACTTAATTAGAAGGTGAATTTGGCTGGAAAGCAAGCTTGAATACTGCATAAGCCAATCGCGAGGCTCGTCCCACTCGCTTCTATTATTCAGTATTTCTTTAGATTAAACGTCGGCCCCTTAGCCCCATCTCCCTGACCACGTGTTATTCGACCTTTAAAGTATCTACGATGTATATATACGTTTATATACATGGGTATAGGAAAATATGCTTGAGTGTCACAATGAAAATGTCAGAGGTTTATATTTCAAATTAATCTTTATAAAAAAAAAATCGTTACCTTTATAAATAGCTATAATTATTATTGAGAGAAAAAAAGGGCAAAAAAAAAAATTTAGGAGGATAAGGGGAGAGAGAGAGAAAAAATAAAAGAGAAAACAAAATAATATACATGAAACACAATAGAAACGTGAGGATTTTTTAGACGGACGAGCATCACGAGAGTTGTCCTCGAAGCTTGACGTCGATAGAAAAAGGGTGAACGATGAGAGGGAGATGGTGTTCGTGAAAAACCGACGAAAGAGAGCGAGCATAAAAGAGGAAAAGAAAAAGAAAAAGAAAGAGAGAGAGAGAGAGAGAAAAAGAGAAAAAGAGAAAGACAGACGATAGAAAGTTAGACGCGCGCAGACGAGATCGAAGTAGAACTGGTGCACTGCTGGCTTTCGTCTGCGGGGAACCGTTCCTGTATGTTGAACGTGAGGATGTGTGAGAGTAAAAGGAAGAAAGAGAAAGAAAACGAGAGAGAGAGAGAAAGAGAGAGAGAGAGAGAGAAAAGAAAAAGAGGAGTAGGGTTCAGGCAAAAAAGCCGGCGGCTCAATTTTCATGAATTATGTAGAATATCGAGGGATATTGAATTCGAGGAAATTTTTCGACTGTGCCGTGCTGGAAGCCGCGGCCGTTTCTGAACGAAAGCAAGAGAGAGAGAGAGAGAGGGAAAGAGAGAAAGAGAAAAGGTGGATCGGAAGGTTGGTGAATGTTGGTAAAGGAGAGTAGAAAAGAGGAGAGAGAAGGGAGTGAACGAACGAACGAACGAACGAACGAGTCGAAAACTCCCGGATATATGTATAGGCGAGAGTCGGAGGAAGATCGGAAAAAGCGTAGGAGACACGTAGGAAACAATCAGGAGGGCCGAGACGCGGAGAGAGATAGAAGGAAGGGTGGTTTACTGGGTGGCTGCTAGGCCTCCAATCCCGTGGGAGTACATTGTCATCCCCCCGCGGAGTGCGTTCCCGCGATCCGGGACTTCATGGAAAAATCAAACACATACCTTCTCGACTAGCATGTTAGCTTTTCTTTATTTTCTCTTTTTCCAACTTTTTCTCTCTTTTTTTCTTTTTTTTTTCTTCTCTTATTTCGCTTACTCCGACACGCGCGCGCGCGCGCGCAAATCATCGCGAACGAACAAAATACCGAAGGGTAACTGCGATTTCGAGCATCCCTTTTATTCTCTATTACAGCCTGTACCGTTACTTTTCTTTTCTTATTTTATATTCTTTCACGCGTTAGGAAAGAAAAAAGACGATTGCTACTTCATCGAAAGACATCGTTTAATATTATCTCCGGACGAGATGTTATATATATATATATATATATAGATATATTCTTTTAAGTTTCTATTTTGGGGGGAAGGGAGGTTTAATGTTATATACTGTGTTTGATCTATGATATTAGATTCGATCCTTTTTATTATACCGAAGAAGTGTTTTAAGAAATATATCGAACTGTAGGAATAATAAAGTACCACATTATTAGGATATCTATTGAATTTGTTAAATATTAAATAATAAATAATAAATAATAAATAATAAATATTAAATATTTGTTATATAATTAAATATCGAGAGCGTCTAACATGTAACACCATCTATGAAGAAAAAGGTGATTCTTCCTAGCGAGAGAAAGAAAAGGGGAAGAAAGGTATCGATCTTGCGTAGCACGCGTTTCGTATCCGTTTCGAAGGACTTGTAGTTTCGGTGTGAATGCACTCTATCTTTCTATCTCTCTTTCTCTTCGATATACACACACATACACCCTCTCTCTCTCTCTCTCTTTTGCTACTTAAAGGCGTCGAGCGAATTTAATTTCGTTTACTCTTAGAGAACGTTAAGATGGTATCGCGAATGCTGGATGGGTATTCAAAGCATTGTACCTCGGCTTATCGCTATCGTGGATCTTGCTCTAAACACGATGTCTCCGTTGCGCTCGAGGCGTCGTGTAACACGAAGAGACTACACGACTACCAACTACGACGACGACGACGACGACGACAACAAGGACAACGACGACGACGACGACGACGACGCCTTCTAGTCGTTCGTAGATAGGAACGCCATCGAGTGTACTACCTGCATCTACGATACTACCAGCGTAAAGTGGCCCTTTAACGGCTATGACGACGGGCACGAAGACAACAGCCAAACGACTCGATAACGTTTTCATCAAATATCCTATCCAACTAATTTTCTAATTTATTTATATTTCAACTTTAACATAAATCCTACCCAAAATTCAATAGAAAATAACGCAAGATATAATCACAGTTATTTTGTTGTTGTTGTTGTTTTTTTTCTTTATCTTTTAACGCAAAGAATTTGAGAAACACTGTCATTGACACGAGACGAAATATCGTCGACGTTATTCGTGGATCTTTGTCTTATCTCGACCTGTCGTGATCGATTCGATACCGATAGCAGCATTTATCGGTATTAGAAGAGTATCGCCATGGGAGATGAAAGAGATTCGTTGCTGAACAGAACTAAAAGAGAATATTATGACAGACAACACATCCCGGTGTACCTACGGTATCTATCTACCTATACTCTCGATGCTTTTTTACTCCTCCCCCACCTCCCAATTCCGAACCTTTTTAGATTATATCGAACTTCAATAAGGATACTTAAACTTTTTGATATGTTTTGATTAGTTTTATTTCAAGGTCCATCGGAAATAGAATAGAATTTTCTTTTTTTTTCAAGATAGACCGTAGGAGACTAACTGTTAACGACACTTCGATGTCGCATATTACGACACCTCTTCTCCGTCTTCTATGGTATCATCTTCCAAGCATTGGCTGTTAGAGGCTAATGGATTACGTTACCGACTGATTCAAATGCGAACTGGATTTCATTTCAGGCACCCTTCTCGGTTCGGAGAAAGATAAAGCAGAGAGTGAAAGAAAGAGAGAGACAGTGATGGTGTTGTATCGCGAATACAGCTCGTAAAGAAAGAAGAAAAAAAAGAAAGAGAGAGAGAGAGAGAGAGAGAGAGAGAGAGAGAGATAGTGAGAAAGAAAATGGGAGAGGTGTCGTTGGGGGTAGTTTCTTACAGAGGGTTCAAACTCGATTTCGATAGTCTATTAGATTTTTCTCCTTCGCTGTAGTCGCTTTCTTTCCCTACTTCTCATTCTTCTCTTTTTTTTTTCCTATATACCTTTTGCAAGCTTCAACAAGGAAAAATCTATTCTGGATTGGAGGCGAGAAGAACACCCGGTAGAGATACGTTTCGCTTTAACCCCCCCCCCTTCCCTTCCCTTCCCTCTCCTCCCCCGCACCTTTTTTCTACCCATCATCTACTTCTTTGTTGAGGGTTCTATCTAAGCACCGGAAGCTAACTCTCGTTGCAAGTCGCACGCCGTTTCAACGTGTAAAACTTAAGGCCTCTTACCTTCCTTTTAGATGGAATAACGTTTTAGGTGTTACGAGGGTTAAACGCGAGGATTATTCATGATTTATCATATAACAGTTATGAGAAATATTGTTGGAAGTTTTTTTTTTTTTTTTTTTTTTATAAGATTTCAATGGAAACTTATAACATATATAAAAAGAATATATTTTTAAATCTTTCACGTATATATGACAAATGTTTCGATGCCACTATTTGATCCAAGACAAATATTGTATATTATTATTAAAAAAAAAAAAAACAAAAAAAACATATTTTAATAATAAATCATACACCATACGAAAAATGTCATTTATTCTACGTGTAACTCTCTTATAGTAGATAAATTACGTTGGAACGATACCTAGAAGCGAACAAAGCTTTAATTTTCTTTTTCACCTAATACAGGAGAAATACGTTGTAGAGGTAGTACAGTATACCGAGCGAGTTATTGTTCGACTGCTAACGACGAATCAACGTCGAATAAAAGATACATGCGCAGGGCGATTGACGAAATCATCCCTGTGTCGGTTCTCGAGACTAGGTACGGTTGCCCTTCCACCGAACCGAACAAAAATGAAATAAAACGAAGTTGTACGCTTTCCAACGATAAGGGGTGGTGGTGGTGGTGGTGGAAAGGGTTGAAGCGCCTCCTCCTCCTCCTTCTCCTCCTCCTCTTCTTCCTCCTACGCGTAGTTCAGGCGTCGCGGCCGGTAGTATGCATGTAGAAAAAAAACGTGCATCGTCCGCTGTTTCAACTTTTACAGGGAGCAACTTCACGGCGGCAATGAACGAACGAACGAACGAACGAACGAACGAACGAACGAACGAACGAACGAACGAACGAATGAACGGATGAACGGAATCGACAAAAAAAATAACACGCGCGAATGGGAAAAGTCTAAATATCGAAAGAGAGAAAGAGAGAAAGAGAGAGAGTGAAAGCTTAAACAGACGGGGGTGGAATACGGGGCGAGAAATGTGCGAGCGGCTATCGTGTAAACAGAGTCAAATGAATTCAATCAAACCTTGCAATAAATCATCGCCATTCGCATGCCAGTTTGTTTGTTTATATTTCCCGTGTACCAATTAGAGGTTTTTATTTTCCACGCCACTGCTCCGAACGCTTTTTCTTCTTCCGATTAAAAAAATCGATCGATCGCTTTTTTTCTTTTCTTTTCTTTTCTTTCCATTTTTATTTATTTATTTCTTTTTTTTTATTCCCTTTTTCTTCCCGTTTGTTAGTTTTGTTCCTATCGAGAATTTCTCATT